TTCCACTCCTCAGCATCACTACTCTCCAAAGCCTCCTTGAGAGTTGCTGGTTCTCCCGGCATCTCCACCGGAGAGAAGAACGCGAAGGCACACTCCTCGTAGTCACTCTCCTCGTCGTCTCCGACCATCATTGCCGCTCCGGCCAGGGCTGTCTTGCCTTGCTTTCCAAGTGCATCATAGGTCAGCCTATTAGGGGGTTGAACTCTCCTCTTCCCCCTTCCTTCCTCCTCAGCTGCAGGGACTTGAAGGCCTTGGCGTTGCTGCGGTGTGGCTCGAATCCGTGGAGCACTCGTAGTGCGGGAAGGGAGTGACGGTGCACGCTCGCTCACTTGCTGCACCTCCTCCTCTTCTTCCTCTGCATCATTGGCCTCCTCTCCCCCATTCACAAGGGAAGATTCCCTTGTGGTAGTGCTGTCGCTGCTCAGCTCCAAAGGCAGCTCCACATGCTCTAAACCGGAACTCTTCACCTCCCCAAACCGCACGCCTATCTTCGCCTCATTCTCCGCCTTCCAATCCTTGTACATGAAGTTCTCCATGAACTTGCAGTCCCTGCTCACCAAGAACTTCTTGGTGAATGGGTCCCAAAGAAGCCATCCCTTGCTGTTTTGAGCCATGCCCAAGTGCACGGCCCACACCGCCTTGGCACCAAGCTTGTTGTGCCGAAGATGCTTAGGCACGAGCGCCATGCACATGCACCCAAACACCCGAAGCATATCCACCTTTGGCTTCCTTCCTAGCCACTCCACATAGGGCACCCATTTGTCTGCTCCCACATGAGTCAAGGCTCTGTTCTTGGCCACACACGCACTCCGCACCGCATCAGGCCAGAAATAGTCGGGTAGCCCGGCTTCAATGAGCAACCCGCGTGCCGCCTCCGTGATTGTGCGGTTCGCTCGCTCGGCGATGCCGTTCATTGCAGGGGAGTATGGCATGGTGAGGGAGTGCCGAATACCATTCTTCTTCAGCCACAACCCAAACTCCTTGCTCAGGAACTCTCCCCCTCGATCGGTGCGGATTGACTTGACTAGACGGTCTTGTTGCCGCTCCACCATCGGGAACCAATCCGTCTTCAACGTTTCAGCCACGTCGCTCTTCCTGGCCAGCACGTACACCCAAGTCATACGGGTGTAGACGTCCACAATAGTGAGGAAGTACTCAGCTCCAGCAGCTCCAAGCTTCAGGGGGCCCACCACGTCCATCACCACCTCATCAAGTGGTGCCTTAGCCGTTGCCTCCGAACTAGAGAATGGGAAACGGGTGAACTTGGCTTGCATGCACGTCGGGCAGCCAAGTACCTCATCGGGCTCCCCCTTCACACGTATGCCAGCAACCATCTCATTCTTCACTAGCTGCTGCAAGATGGGCAGGGCCACATGCCCCATGCGCCGATGCAAGGTGAGCCAATCACACTCCCCCGTAGCCAAAGTTGGATTGGAGAATGCCGCGCTCGCAATAGCGCCCCACATACTCTCTCCGTAGTCCTCCTCCGCTGCTGCCTCGGGGTTCTCCTCACCCTTTTGCTGCTCCTTGGCTGCTGCACCACTCTCCTTAGGTTCACTGAACTTGCTGGTCCCTCCAGGTTTTCTCTTCTTGAGCTCATTCTCCTTAGCGCGACCGTTCGCACCATCGTCGCTACCGACCGCTCCATCCTTGGTGCTGATGCTTGCTGCCACTTGCCTCTCCTTAGGCATAGGGACCACTGGGATCTGCCACATCTCGTTGTAGACATCCTTGTCCTCATGAAGGTCCCAGAGAATTCGATCGCCAAGCCTTGCGGTGTAGGTCTTGGCTCCCTTCGAGTTCGTGTCCATGCCGGCCTTTGCCAACCGCCGCACGGAAATCAGGTTTGCAGCAAGGCTGGGCACCCAAAGCACGTTCTTGAGGCCCACCATCTTCCCATCAGCACCCTTGAACATGGCCTTCCCCATGCCTTTCACCTCAGCTCGCTGCCCCAAAGCCGATGTGACATGCTTCACCGGTGACGGCTCGAGTTCGGTGAGCAAGTCCGGGCGAGGTGTCATGCTATAGGTAGCGCCACTATCAATCACCCAGTAGTCCAGGGGGTGTAGGGTCACCTTCCCCACAGCTGCTGGCTCCTCAAAGCCTTCATCCTTCTCTGGACCAGCCGGTGCTTGCGTCGACACGAAGTAGAATAGACCCGGGTATCGATCGTCGCTCGGGTCCTTGTCGTTGTCTCCGCTCTTCATGTTTGCAGCTCCGCCACCGCGACCGCCACGGCCTCCACGACCTCGTCCTCCCCCTCCTCCTGCTCCTCTACCCTCTTGGCCTTGAGCAGGGGTCCAACCATCAGGGAGTTTGTAGCAGTCGCGCCACATGTGTCCGCTCTTGTGGCAATAGTGACACTCGCCGTCGAATCGGCCGCGACCGCGTCTGTAGCTCTTGTCGTCGCTGCCGTAACCGCCACTCCCGCGGCCTCCGCCGAAGTTGCTGCCACCAAACCTTCCTCCCCCTCGTCCTTTGCCTCTTCCTCGACCATATCCACGGCCGATGCTCGCTGCCCCAGCGCCATCCGCACTCGCCAACTCACGGCGGCGGAAATCCTCTTGAAGGATAGCCCGCTTCACGTCTTCGAGCGAGAGGCGGGGCAAGTCGCGATTCAGGTTGATGATGAGCGAGGACCATGATTCGGGGAGTAGGGCCAGCAACTTGGTCTTCTTTTGGAGCTCACTATAGTTCAAATCCGCTCCCTCAAGACGCGTCAACAAGTCGAAGAATTTCTGCACCCCTTCTTCAACCGCTTCATCCTCTTCAATTCGTAACGTCGCCATTTGCCGTTCCAACACCACAGCTACCGCCGCTGTTGCAGGAGCGTGTACACCCTTGAGAGCAGCCCATGCTTTTGGTCCCTTCTCTGGTTCACGCTGGAAAGGCTTGATGTGACGGATTTGGCTGCTCCCCAACGCGTGCCCAAGTAGGAGGTAGCCTTGTGCGCTCTTCCGCACCCACGGGCTCTTCTCCGGGTCGTTCTCGGGACGCTTCTCCGTTCCTTCCATCACCTCCAGCAGGTCATAGTGGTCAAATATGTTCTCCATTCTGAAGGACCACTCAGCAAAGTTGTCACCATTGAACTTGTCAAGGCCAAATACTCTAGGCTCATCCCTAGATGGGCCAACACTTGGTTGCACGGGCGCCATGGTTGAATCACGGGGTTGGCCTTGAGCTTGGGCTTCTCCTCTGCCACCAGCACCTCTGCCACCCCTTTCCTCAGGTCCAGCCATTGTCGAAACTGCTCCAAGGGGCTCTGATACCACTTGTTATAGTCACAGTAGGCTCCAATGTGCCTAAAACGAAAGATAGAGTGTATAGTCGGATTTCTGCACAGCGGCTTCAAACGTTCATAGCGTTCTCGTCACAGCTTCAAATGACTTGATTCAACTTGGATCTGGAGCGTCGTATTGTCGCCTACACTAGGCAATTTAGATCGCACGATTTGATCAAGTATTGACGACACAGTGTTGGTTTGAACGAACGGCACTATGGCAGCCACTATAGTCTTAGAACACAAGATAGGAAGAGTTAGGGAGAGTTACGAGTTGGGAATGACTCCCAGCTCCTACAAACCCCAAGAGCCGAGGTACAGTGATGTGGAACAGTGCCACACTGTCCCCAACCACGAAGGGTCTCGAAACTACCCTTCACTAGGGCCTACACCAAGTGAAATGTTACACTACACAAAGTAATGTAACTATCTTCAATATCTTGAGGTGTACCCTTTTGGCGAGCTTCGAAATCACTTGAGGCTTGACGCCAAGGCTTGGGCTCTTCATCACAGACTCATCCTTGAGTTCTTGATGGGTCTGCTGCACACACCTGCGACACACCGAACGTTCGACACAGGACAAAATAGAAACCGCGCACGACAAAATAGAAACCGCGCGCGAGACACAAACGACCGCGTAACACGCGTCTAGCGATAACTCGCTATTGACTCTACACACACACTCGACATCATGACTCAACATTCACACACAATTATAAGCATGAAATATGTATTATCCCATGCCCTCATACCATTCCATACACACACACATGCATGCACACGGACAACAAGCCGAGTGCAAACCATAGGATTGCACCAACATCTACTCGCCACTCGCTCTCAGCTCTGCCTTCGGATGAGTCCGTAGAGCCGAGTGGCCCGTACCCAGAGCTTCTTGGCTGCCTCATGTACCTGATGACCTGCACACGACCTGACCTTGCATACCCTCTTAGCATCTTGGCACGCTATGTTGCTCCTGGGAGACACTGACCAGAGCTCATGGCTGCAGCAAAAATGGTGTTGCACTACTTGTGCAGTACGTCGGGCATGGGGCTAGTGCTTGGAGGGCGACGTTCTATGGTCCTCACAGGTCACGCAGACGCTTCTTGGGCTGACGACCAGGCTACGCAGCGGTCGTCACAGGGTTACATCTTCAGCCTTGGTTCCGGCTCTGTTTCGTGGCGGTCTACCCGCTTGGTCAGGTGTTTGCTGCAGCGTCCCGGTCTGGTCCTGAGTCTGCACCCTGCTCGTATTACCTGAACCAAGGCTGAAGATGTAACCTGGAAACAGCTTCCCTCTTCCATCTACACCCTCACCAGCCTCCAAATGATGTACGTCTTCTCTCTCCTCTCGCTCCCTCTCACTTTTTGAGTCAACCGTAAGCCTCTTCCCTCTTCCATCTACACCCTCACCTGCCTCCAAATGATGTACGACTCTCTCTCTCCTCGTCTCCTCTGGCATTGAGGTTTATTTTCATTTAGGCGCCCCAAAATAGCAACTTCAGCGGGACACTTCCCATCCCACCTCCATCTACACCCTCACCAGCCTCCAAGTTTTGAGGCGCCTCAAAACCCATCTACACCCTCACCAGCGATTTTTTAGAATTCTCAAAAATCGCTCACATCTACACCCTCACAGCCTCCAAATGATGTACACCTTCTCTCTTCCCTTGCTCCCCCTCAACACTCATGGGCCGATTCACTCATGGGAAGATTCACTTATGGGCCGATTCACTCATGGAAAGATTCACTCATGGGAAGATTCAACCATGGGAATATTCGCTCATGGGAAGTTTCGCTCATGGGAAGATTCGCTCATGGGAAGATTCGCTCATGGAAAGCTTCGCTGCCTCTCCCATTGCAAGCAGAGATGTCTCAGACAATTCTCTCACGGGCTCTCTTCCTCTCTCGGCAGGCGCCCTCAGCTCAGAATCACTCAAACCTCATCCTCCGCCCCTCTTTCTCTTCCCACCCCATCCCCTCCCATTGCAAGCAGGGATGTCTCGGACAATTCTCTCACGGGCTCCCTGCCGCTCTCTGCCAGCGCTCTCAGCGGCCTTCAGATGCTGTACGTGCATGCAGTCACTTGCCCCCTGTCCGTCTCTGCCAGCTCCCTCAGCGGCCTTCATATGCTGTGCGTGCATCACTTGCCCCCTGTCCGTCTCTGCCAGCGCTCTCAGCGGCCTTCAGATGTTGTACGTGCATGTAGTCACTTGCCCCCTGTCCGTCTCTGCCAATCCCTCAGCGGCCTTCATATGCTGTACGTGCATCACTTGCCCCCTGTCCGTCTCTGCCAGCGCTCTCAGCGGCCTTCAGATGCTGTACGTGCATGCAGTCACTTGCCCCCTGTCCGTCTCTGCCAGCTCCCTCAGCGGCCTTCAGATGCTGTACGTGCATGCAGTCACTTGCCCCCTGTCCGTCTCTGCCAGCTCCCTCAGCGGCCTTCAGATGCTGTACGTGCATGCAGTCACTTGCCCCCTGTCCGTCTCTGCCAGCTCCCTCAGCGGCCTTCATATGCTGTACGTGCATCACTTGCCCCCTGTCCATCTCTGCCGGCTCCCTCAGCGGCCTTCATATGCTGTACGTGCATCACTTGCCCCCTGTCCGTCTCTGCCGGCTCCCTCAGCGGCCTTCATATGCTGTACGTGCATCACTTGCCCCCTGTCCGTCTCTGCCAGCTCCCTCAGCGGCCTTCATATTCTGTACGTGCATCACTTGCCCCCTGTCCGTCTCTGCCAGCTCCCTCAGCGGCCTACAGATGGAATGCTGTGCGTTTGGCTAGGTTGCCTTGTTGCCTTGAGTTTTTTTTATCGTCTCGAAACGAAATGCCATGGCATGACAATTTTCTCGGGGGATGTGGTGGGTGGGATGGGATGGGTGGGATGCTGTTAGGTATGACTTCCCTCTTTGCAATCACATGTAACTGCGCATGTAACCATGTGCAACCGCATGCGACCACATGTTACCACGTTCAACCATGCGCAACCATGTGCAACCGTTGTACAAGCATCCCATCCACAGCAACAGCTCGATCCCAACAACCCACCCCACCCCACTCAAACTTTTTCAAGCCCTTCCCATTCCATCACATCTCCTCCCATTCTATCCCACTTCATCCACTCATCCTACCACATTCCACCCCGTCCCATCCCATTCCACACATCCCCACAGCAACATGATCAACAACCGCTTCTCTGGCAACTTACCGTCCACTCTCGGCAATCTCACGAGCCTCACTCGTGTGTAAGCACCCAATTGAAAGTGAATCTATCCCAGTGTCGTTGGCAACAGCACGGTTGCTTGTGAGAATTCCCAAAAGTGATTTCCACGAGCTTGACACACGTATAAGCACCCAAGCTTGGAAGTAATTCTATCCCAGTGTCGTTGGCAACAGCACGGTTGCTTGCCATTTCAAGGTGCCTCAAAATCTGTCACTACCCACAGATTTTAAGGCTATCTGCTAGCAGCGCTGTTCGCATCGCAGCAGCACGGTTGGCAGCATCAAGAATGGCAACAGCATAGCCGGTGACTTTGTGCAGGCATCGGCTTGCTTTTGTCGGGCTTCCATCAGTTCTTGTTTGTGTGTGTGTGTCCGTCCCTCTTCCTCGCTCTGATCACACTTGCCGTTGATTTGCATAACTACTTGTGTTGCCTACCCCCGTGCGTGCAGGGAGCTGGGGAGAAACTATTTCTCAGGCTCTCTGCCGACCTCCCTGGGACAGCTCACTGCCCTCATCAGCCTCCATCTGCACTCTCACCAGCCTGCAAGAAATGTACACCCCCCCTCGCCTCTCTCCCCTCTGTGCGTGCAGGGAGCTGGGGAGGAACTATTTCACGGGCTCTCTGCCGACCTCCCTGGGACAGCTCACTGCCCTCATCAGCCTGTGAGTCTCCCAACCCTCCCATCCCATCACCCCTTTCATCATCCATCTTGAGGTGCCTCAAAACTGGACCCATCCCATCACCCCTTTCATCATCCCTCTTAAGGTGCTTCAAAACCCACTGCTCTCATCAGCTCAGCCTGTGAGTCTAGTTTTGAGGTGCCTCAAAACTAGACCTATTCCATCATCCCTCTCATCATCCCTTTCATCATCCGTCTTAAGGTGTCGTAAAACTCACTGCTCTCATCAGCCTCCGCCTGTGAGTCTCCCAACCCTCCCATCATCCCTCTCATCATCTCACCACCCCTCGTAGAGGTGACTCAAGCTCACTGCTCTCATCAATCTGTGAGTCTCCCACCCCTCTCATCCCTCTTGAGGTGCCTTAAAAGTCACTGCTCTCGTCACCCTATGAGTCTGCCCCCATAAACATGTGGGTCTTTTGAGTCTCCCAACCCTGCCATCATCCCTCAAAACTCTTTGCTCTCATCATCACTAAGCGCAATCCTTCTCATCCCTTTCCCCGTCAGTGGGCTAGAAGAGGGCAACATTATATGAGGCTGCATACCCTCTCGAATGGGAGCACTAAGTATCCCCTGAGTGCCCATCTGCTTCCTGGCTCCCTTAGTCTCCTCCCCCCAGTATCCTCCCCCCACCCTACACCCACCCTCAGTATCCTCCCCCCACCCTAAACCTCCTACCTTCCCTTTCCTCCTCTCCTCCTACCATCAGAGGTCTGCAAGGCAACAATTTAGGAGCTCCTTTTGAGGCGCCTAAAAAATTGGCTTTTAAGGCGCCTCTAAAATCCCTTTCCTCCTCTCCTCCCCTCCTCCTTCAGGGGCCTGCAAGGCAACGATCTAGGAGGCCCCATACCCTCTCAGCTGGGGGCCCTTATCAGCCTCAACACGCTGTATGTATTATCTCATATCATTCTAAATATTATATCATTCTATATGTATCATATTCTATTATTTCATGGTCTTATTCTACTTCAGAATTGTGATAATGAATTGTCAGGAGTGTCTGTGCTGCCCACCTAGTGTGTTACAGTGCTCTCTTCCCTTCTCCTCTTCCCCCATCCTCTCTCCTTTCCCCCAATCACGAGCGATGTGTCTAGTCTAACAACCACTTGCGCAGCGCTTTTGAGTCGACTCAAAAGTCATCAGCGATGTGTCTGGTCCAACAACCACTTGCGCGGCGCTCTTCCCCCTCCCCCTCAAAACTCATTCCGCTCCGTCCTCCTCGTTCCCCCACCATCTCACCCCTCCTCCTCTCTCTTCCCCCTCTTTCTCCCTTCCCTTCTCTCCCCCCCTTCCCCCCATTTCTAGCGACGTGTCTGAAAATCAGTTTCGAGATTACTTTTGGGCCGACTCGTATGCCATCTCCTCTCTCCTCCACCCCTTTCCACCCCACCAACGTGTCCTCTTTTCCCCACCATCTCCCCCCCTAGTTTTGAGACGTCTCAAAACTCCTCCCCCCCTTTTCCCCCATCTCCAGCATCGCATCCTCCTCTTTTCCCCGCCATCTCCCCCCTCTCTCTCCTCCTCCTCCAATCTCCAGCGACGTATCTAACAATCAGATGTGTGGCGCTCTGGTGCTCTCACATCTGATGCATGACGTGCCTGTGCTGCCCACCTGGTGTGTTAAAGTGCTCCCTTCCCGTCCCGTCCCTTCCCTTCCCTTCCCTTCCCTTCCCTTCCCGTCCCGTCCCTTCCCGTCCCGTCCCGTCCCGTCCCGTCCCTTCCCGTCCCTTCCCTTCCCTTCCCTTCCCGTCTCTCCCTCTCTCTCCTCCCCTCCTCCAATCTCTAGCGACGTGTCTAACAATCAGATGCAAGGCGCTCTCCCCCCCACCCTTGGGAATCTCTCCGCGCTCACTCATCTGTAAGCACACACGCACGTGATTTGTCTTGTGTATGAAGTAATGTTTTGAGACGTCTCAAAATACTCCCCCCCACCCTTGGGAATCTCTCCGCACTCACTCATCTGTAAGCACACACGCACGTGATTTGTCTTGTGTATAAAGTAATGTTTTGAGACATTGGAAAGCTTTCTTCTGTCAACCAGAGTGGGGAGACATTTTTACAGTGAACATATCCAACAGTCGTAACTATAAGGGCTGAAATTCCAGCCTTCAGCGCCTACTATTATCATGGTTCCAAGGAAATCAGGAACTTTTGCACAGTCAAATTACGGCCTGGAGGGGGGCGGGGAAGCTAACACCTTGGTAGAAAAAAAGAAAAAGGCTGAAAAAAGGCTGAATCGCCGTATACACACTAAAATCCGGTGGCCTGCTACGTATCAATCACATGCACCAGAGATCACATCAATGCGCAGAAACTCATCATCCAGACTCTGCTCCGGCTGTCGCATTGCGACCTCCTGGTCGATGCTCTCGAGACGTGAATCTGCTTTCGATGTCGTTTTCTACAGAAACTCCCTTGATAGCGCGTCCAATCGCGCGGCAACTTCCCGCATGTGCGGGCGCGAAGAAGCTGGCATGCCGGTGCACTGCAGTGCAAGCTCCACGACTTGCAAGAGCAGTTCGCTAGGAATGCTGTCGAGATGAGGGTCCTTGAGGCCTTCTGCGTCTCGGTCTTGCACGTGGCGGGCAGCCTGGAAAGAGGTAAAAAAAAAAGAACAAAAAGGAGAAGTTTTTGTGGCAGAATGGTGAATCAATCTCACAACAAGGCGCATCTGGTGATTACAAAAACATCATGCACACGACAAGGCAAAACAAAACATGCCATGTTCTCATCACATGTACTGTGCATTGCTCACCCAATCTTTGATGATGGTGTTGACGCCCTTCTCTTCCACTACAGTAGGCCTCGTCAGCATAACCTCTAGCATCAACACGCCAAAGCTGGAGAACAAATGGGGGATTCATTTTTTTTATTGAAAACTATAGTCAAGGGACTGGCAGAAGGGCATAACTTACGGAAATGCTTGATGAAGTTAGAACGAGGAATGCTTGATTGAAAATGTGCAAATGGGTGTGCCCTTGTTGGTGCACCTTTCCAATTTTTCCTATTTGCTCTCTTGCCTCAGCACCTACCTAAGAACATCAGCCATGGGCGTGGCCTTGTTGGTGCGCGAGTAAGCGGGGTCCACATAGCCCGGAGTGCCGACCACTCGGGTGGGATTCACTGTGGTGCCTTCTGTCATGCGCACCAGCCCAAAATCTGATATCTTTGGCTGGTGGGGAGGAGGAAAGGAGGGTGGAATAATGGCAGATGTGACTCCGTCGTCATGCGCACCAGCCCAAACTCCGACACTCTCGGGTGTGGGAGGTCGAAGAGTAGAGGGATGGGAGATCGTTGATGGATCATGGAAGCAATGAAAAAGGAAGATGCTAAAATCATGCACACCGTTGTCACGTAGCATACAACAAAATCAAAGCCAAAGGTATCGGGTTCAAGTCTCAGTGTGCATCAAGTGAGCGCAAAATCAGAATTCCAGCCACTAGAGCACTGGGATAAAATGGCTTGTTTGCGTAGCGGGTCCGTTCACCCATAACCCCCAAGGAGAACGTGCCAATCACCCCCCCCCCCCCTGATAAATTGGGGATCCACCGTGCAGGTCCAGGACCGGGAGGCCCCGGACCCGGCACAGCGGCAACGGCCTGCATGTGCATACACCGAGATTCGAATTCGAGGCCAATCTGATACCATGTCAGAATCTCAGCCATTAAACCACTGGGATAAAAGGTCTTGCTTATGCCAGTCCATGCGCCCACAACCCCCCAAACGAATGCGCCTGTAACCCCCCTTAGGATCAATTGGGGATCCATAGTGCTGGTCTACTAATACGCAGTGTCTTAACGAGGCCCAAGCGAGGAGAAGATGACTCTAGTGAAGGAGAGAAAAACGGGTATCAAAGCCAAAGGTCTCTAATTCATCCATACATATTACTCTCACCTGCATGAGTGCATCAAGCAGCACGTTGGCGGGCTTGATGTCTCGATGCACGATGTCAAACTGGTGGAGGTACTCCAACCCCCGCGCCACCCCCACCAGCACATCCATGCGCTGCTGTAGCGTCAACATGCCTTTGTTTGGCCCTGTGTCAGAGAATGGTAGGATGATATCAAAACGGAGGCAAAGTGATAAAACAAAAAAGAGGAAGACATATTAGGATGTAACAAAAATCAAACTGGTTTATGGGGAAATTGATCAAAAGAGGATAATGCTTTTGTAGCACCAACCAAAGGTAAAGTGTTCCAATATTGTTCCGAGTTCATTGAACTTGAGCACCTTTCTCACCGCCACTGAGGTACTTCTCCAAGTCGCCATTTGCACAGAACTCGTAGATGACGATTTTCTCGTGGTGCTCTGTTGTCATATCCATGTCCACACAGTACCCCAGCAGCCGCACCAAGTGCGGATGGCTCTTTGATGCCATCTCTTCCACCTGTGACGGGGAACAAAAATGAGGTGCAAACGTGGTGGTGGGTGATGAATTTGTGCGAATGATGAAAAACTTCCACACCATCTCCTCCATCTGCATGGTAACGCAAAAAAAAAAAAGTGTCTTACCTCGCCTTTTCACTTCATCCACACACACCTCTCGTTTGAAGTCGTTGGTGAGTATCTTGGCGCGCTTCACAGCCCACACCACCGAAGGGTCCACCGGAGACACCCCTCGATACACCTCGCCATACCCGCCCGACCCAATGTGGTTTGCCTCAGCCCAATCGTTTGTCGCCTTGGCCACAGTGGCAAAGGAGTAGCGCTGGCACATGAGCACCTGGCTCAGCACAACTGACAAGCCGCTGCCTTCTGACGCCCCGGCAGTCACTTGTGCTCCCTCGGGCTCCTCCTCCCGGCCTGCAGGAGTGTGGGATGGGATGGGATGGGATGGGATGGAATGGGATGGGAACACAAGCTAGAAGGGTTAGGTAGGCTCTGTGCCTTGGCCACAGTGGCAAAGGAGTAGCGCTGGCACATGAGCGCCTGGCTCGGCACGACTGACAAGCCGCTGCCTTCTGTCACCACGTCAGTAGCTTGAGTTGCATTGGTTTGTTCCTCTTGACCTGCCGGAGTGTGGGAATAGATGGGATGGGAATTGGGATGGGAATTGGGATGGGAATTGGGATGGGAAGGATAAGCACACCGGCAGGAAGGGTTAGACCCTGGTCGAGCATGGGAAAGGAGTGGACGGGACGGGAACGTGCAGGCCGGGACGTAACATAACACAACAGCTTGTGACTGGCACAAAAAGACACATAAATGAGCGCCGTTTATAAATGTTTACAAAGAGGAGGGTCATGGAGACGGGAAGTAGACGAGCAGACGCAAAGACAGGAAGTTAAGATGAGCAGAAGCATTACAATCAAAAAGAAAACGTAAGTGGATGAACGCAATGTCAACTGGGCAACCCATACTTCACCTTCGGGTTTGGACCTTCGCTTCCAGAGCAGAAACAGGCCAATAACGAGGAGCACAATAACGAGTACGCCGCCCACTGCAATGCCGATGATAGCCCCCAGAGGCAGACCGGACGAGGAGGAGGAGGATGCATCTGTGGAAGGAGGAGGAGGAGTGTTATTGGCAGGAGGAGGAGGGGAGGGGCTAGCGGAAGGGGAGCCAGGGGAAGGGGCTGGGCTGTTGGAGCAGGAGGAGCAGAAGTCGGGGCAGTTGATGCAGAACTGGGAGGTGGAGGTTTGGTGCACCACACACGGTTGGCTTGCCCCTGGACACACCGTGCCGCTCTCATTCAGTTCACTGAGAGAGGGGGAGGGGGAGGGGGGAGGAGGGGGAAAGAGGGAGAGGTAAAGTACACTCATAACCCCTGAGAGGTAAAGTACACTCACGGTGCCTGAGAGAGCATCGGTGGCCTTTGAGTCAACTTTACAATAATACGCACAACCCCCCTGAACACTCACAACGATGTGAGGAGCAGGAGATTCCCGAGGGTGGGAGGAACGATGCCCGAGAGAGCATTGGTGGCTCATGAGTCAACTCAACGTTCTACCCCCCAATTACACTCGCACTCCCTTTACACTCACAGCGATGTAAGGAGCAGGAGATTCCCAAGGTGGGAGGAACGATGCCCGAGAGAGCGTTGGTGGCAAAACCCCTGCAAGGAGGTGGAAGGTGGTAATAGAATGCATCGCATCACTGTCAACGTGCGACCATAATGGCAATACCTTGCGAGTTAGGATTAAGTATTAGTATTGTTACTAGTTTATTATCATTAGTTTTGTATTACTTCTGGAACCCCTTGCGCCAACGCCTAATATCAGTGTAATTATTAGTTTTGTATTCGACCAGACAACCAAGCGTACCAGAGTGTGAGTCACAAGAAGAAATCTGCACTGTTTCTAGAATGTGAAAAGCAAGTAAAAAGAGGGAATTGGAATCGTACAGGTATGTGAGATTTGTGAGGCTTCCCAATTGGGAAGGAATTTCTCCAGAAAACTGGTTATTGTCAAAGTGCCTGCAACAGGGGGCAGCGTGGTCGGAGAATGAATTATTGGGTACTATGGGAATCTCTCCAGAGAAGTGGTTATCGTCAAGGTGCCTGCAATAGGGGAAGGTGGTTGGAGTGGAGTTAACGTGACATATTGCCGCTTCCCTCGCAACATACCTTTGTTACAACAATTACCTAACTCATATCATGCCCCTGCCATTTCGAATCCAACAATCTAATGGAGACTCAGGAAACCAACTTCAAGGTCAACTCAACATTCCATCGCAGCACAATCTTAAGGCGATGCAAGAGCCGTAAGATGGGATAAGAGCATGCTCATAAGGTGTCTCAAGAAACGAAATGAAGAGACAGAATAAATGAACGGAATGCGCCTTCGGAACATTCAGCATGCTGAGGTTGGTGAGGGTGGCGAAGAATGATCTTAAGAAGATGCAAGAACTGCAAGATGCGATACGAGCAAGTGCATAAGGCGCCTCAAGAAACGGATCGTGCCATCAGAACATACAGCATGCTGAGGTTGGTGAGGGTGGCGAAGAATGAGGGGATGGCGCCTCGGAAGATGTTGCGGGCAAAGTCACTGGGGAGGTGGGGTGGTGGGAGAGATGGAGGTGAGAGGGGTGGAGGTGAGATGGGTGGAGGTGAGAGGGGTGGAGGTGAGAGGGGTGGAGGTGAGATGGGTGGAGGTGAGAGGGGTGGAGGTGAGAGGGGTGGAGGTGAGATGGGTGGAGGTGAGAGGGGTGGAGGTGAGATGGGTGGAGGTGAGAGGTGTGGGCTCAAGCAAAGAAGGGAGGGTGCCTTGGAAGATGTTGCGGGCAAAGTCACTAGAATGGTTGGAGGGATGGGTGGTGGGATGGTGGGAGGCAGAGGTAATAGGAGGGATGGGTGGTGGGATGGTGGGAGGCAGAGGCAATGGGAGGGATGGGTGGTGGGATGGTGGGAGGCAGAGGCAATGGGAGGGATGGGTGGTGGGATGGTGGGAGGCAGAGGCAATGGGAGGGATGGATGGTGGGATGGTGGGTGGCAGAGGCAATGGGAGGGATGGATGGTGGGATGGTGGGTGGCAGAGGCAATGGGAGGGATGGATGGTGGGATGGTGGGTGGCAGAGGCAATGGGAGGGATGGATGGTGGGATGGTGGGTGGCAGAGGCAATGGGAGGGATGGATGGTGGGATGGTGGGTGGCAGAGGCAATGGGAGGGATGGATGGTGCGATGGTGGGTGGCAGAGGCAATGGGAGGGATGGATGGTGAGGGTCCTTCTCAAGGGACTGAGGAGAGGAACGGATGGCGCCTCGGAAGATGTTGCGGGCGAAGTCACTGGGGAGGTGGGATGGAGAGAGGAGTGAAGGGGAGATGGGATGGTGGGATGGATGGAGAGAGATGAAGGTGAGAGGGGTGGGCTCAAGCAAGGAAGGGATGGTACCTCGGAAGATGTTCTGGGTAAAGTCACTGGGGAGATGGGATTATGGGAGGGATGGTGGGAGGGTTGGTGGGAGGGATGGTTTGTAAGAGTTGACTTGTGAGTCGACTCAGAGTCAATATGGAAGGGATGAGAGGCCCTCTCGTAAAGGAAAGATGAGAGGAATGATGAACCACACCACACCACACCACACCGCACCACACCATCACAGATTGCATGGCAAGCATACATGTGAGTGGCTTTCATAAGCGAGGCGAGGGTTTGTGGTATGCTGCCTGTGAACTGATTGTACAGACGCACACCACACCACACCGCACCACACCACACACACCACACCACACCACACCGCACCGCATCGCACCACATCGCACAGCACCGCACTGCACCGCACCGCACTGCACCGCACCGCACTGCACCACACCATCAGAATTCGCAGGCACACATGTGATTGAGTTTCTTGAGTGAGGCGAGGGATTGTGGTATGCTCCCAGTGAACTTATTGTACAGAAGCACACCCCACCCCACCACACCACACCACACCACACCGCACCGCACCGCACTGCACCACACAATCACCATCCGCAGGCATACATGTGATTGAGTTTCTTGAGAGAGGAGAGTGATTGGGGTATGCTGCCTGTGAACTCGTTGTCGAGAAAAACACTGATGAAGGGGAATAACAGGCGTGATGGGGTATAAACAGGGGTGAAATGGGGTGAGAAGGGGTGAGATGGATGAGGTATGCAGAAAAGATTGCCAGACAAGGGTTGCATGAAAATGATTCTTGCATGCGGAGCAGAGTTGACTTTTCAATTGGTGTCCTGTGCCTTTCATTGACATCCTTTGACTCCTTTGACTCCTTTGACGTCCTTTGACTCCTTTGACTCCTTGGACGTCCTTTGACTCCTTGGACGTCTGTTTTACGATTCTTGCTTGGGAAGAAAAGTTGACAAGAATACAACAACAGTCAAAATTCTGCTATTGCGGTGCCTCAAGAGTCAGCTTCTTACACAGTCAGCAAGTTGGTGAGTTTCTTGCATGGGTGAACCAGCCATATTCTGCTTCTGCGGCGTCTCAGAAGTCAACTTCTTACACAGATTCTGATAGCTAGCTAGGTTCTGCTATTGAGGCAAGGCGCATCATGAGTCAGCTTCTTACACAGTCAGCAAGTTGGTAAGTTTCTTGCATGGGTGAACCAGCCATATTCTGCTACTGCGGCGTCTCAGAAGTCAGCTTCTTACACAGATTCTGATAGCTAGCTAGGTTCTGCTATTGAGGCAAGGCGCATCATGAGTCAGCTTCTTACACAGTCAGCAAGTTGGTAAGTTTCTTGCATGGGTGAACCAGCCATATTCTGCTACTGCGGCGTCTCAGAAGTCAGCTTCTTACACAGATTCTGATAGCTAGCTAGGTTCTGCTATTGAGGCAAGGCGCATCATGAGTCAGCTTCTTACACAGTCAGCAAGTTGGTAAGTTTCTTGCATGGGTGAACCAGCCATATTCTGCTACTGCGGCGTCTCAGAAGTCAGCTTCTTACACAGATTCTGATAGCTAGCTAGGTTCTGCTATTGAGGCAAGGCGCATCATGAGTCTGCTTCTTACGCAGTCTCCAAGTTGGTGAGCTTGCCGAAATCCGTAGGGATGGAACCAGAGAACGTGTTGTATGCAAGGTCACTGCCGGGAGGGGAGGGGATGAGAGAAAAAAGAGTGAGAAAGTGGCAAAGCTCGCAGGTACAGACAGAGGGAGCCTGCTTTATTCTGTAGGGATGGAAGCAGAGAACATGTTGTATGCAAGGTCGCTGCAGGGAGGGGAGGGGATGAGAGAAAAAAGAGTGAGAAAGTGGCAAAGCTTGCAGGCACGGAGGGAGCCTGCTTTATTCCGTAGGGATGGAACCAGAGAACGTGTTGTGTGCAAGGTCGCTGCAGGGAGGGGAGGGGAGGGGATGAGAGAAAAAAGAGTGAGAATGTGGCCAAGCTTGCAGGTACAGACAGAGGGAGCCTGCTTTATTCCGTAGGGATGGAAGCAGAGAACGTGTTGTGTGCAAGGTCGCTGCGGGGAGGGTAGTTGGTGTTTCCAGCCAAGAGACCTTGAGTATCTCTCACAAGAGACCTTAGTTGGCAATGTGGGCGCAGTGCAGGGAAAGGGCCTGCTTACACCGCAACCAGGCTGCGGAGGGTTGCCACTGCTGGGAGGATCTCCCCCTCGAAGTTGGTGTTTCCGCCCTGATTCGTGCGCCAAATGGTGCACAGGAATGAGTCAACAGCGGTCAATGCAAGCATTGAGGTGCATTTTAAGGCGCCTCAAAATAGTATCTCCCCCTCGAAGTTGGTGTTTCCGCCCAGATTCCTGCGCCAAATGGTGCACAGGAATGAGTCAACAAAGGGTCAATGCGGGTCAAAAGGGGTCAACACAGGTCAGCAGAGGTCAACACAGGACAACGCAGATCCACGCGCGTCCACACATTTTGAGTTTCGAGAGAGACAGAATGAGACCGAGTAACTGTAGCTTCAAGGTGTAGTTTCTGGCCTGTTGCTGCAGACGCTTTCTTTAAGCATACAGTGCTTGGAGCTTTGAGACGCGAGAGATGGAGGAGGGAACCGATCCTTAGCTGACTTTTGAGTTGACTCAAACGTCAACCCGCTTATTGCAGACGTGTTCTTTAAGCATACATAGCTTGGAGCTTTGAGAGGCGAGAGATGGACGAGGGAACTGATCCTTCAAACTTGTTGTAAAAGACCGACCTGCAAAGCCCGTGTCATGTCAGGAACGCAGCAGAACAAGCCGGTCACAAGCAAAACATGCCAGTGGCACTTCAGACACACCGTTCTTCTTTTGCGACAGAACCCTGATCGCCAAAATAAAACGAAGGGCTAAAAATCTCGCATATAGCCTGTTGCAACTGCGGTCCTATGGGTTGGTGCCCCCTCAGGTTTGATTAGAGATATTGTTAGCATAGATGGGAGTGATACTTACAGGAACGAGAGCTGAGTAAGCTTTGACATGGCAGTTGGGAAGCTTCTAGAAAAAGAGTTGTTCCCAAGGTCGCTAATTGAGGGAGCAAGGGTGGTTTTGGCGCACCAGGGTGGGAAGGATGAGGATTTGAGATCAAGGATGGATAGGAAGGAGCAAGAAAGCAAGGGAATTTTTGGAGCATGGTGGAGAGAGAGGAGGATATGTGAGGGAGGGAGGCGAACGGAGATGGTTTTTAGAAGGTTTTGAGATGTCATAAAGATTGGAGATGCTGTGGAAGTGGCTGGATGGTACTGAAAGCAAGAAAGGCTTCAAATTATGGTGGAGAGGATAGGAGAGGAGAGGAGAGGAGAGGAGAGGAAAGGAAAGGAGAGGAGAGGAGAGGAGAGGAGAGGAAAGGAGAGGAGAGGTGAGGAGAGGAGAGGAGAGGAGAGGAGAGGAGAGGTGAGGAGAGGAGAGGAGAGGAGAGGTGAGGAGAGGAGAGGAGAGGAAAGGAAAGGAGAGGAGAGGAGAGGAGAGGAAAGGAGAGGAGAGGTGAGGAGAGGAGAGGAGAGGAGAGGAGAGGAGAGGAGAGGAGAGGAGAGGTGAGGAGAGGAGAGGAGAGGAGAGGAGAGGTGAGGAAAGGAGAGGAGAGGTGAGGAGAGGAGAGGAGAGGAGAGGAGAGGAGAGGAGAGGAGAGGTGAGGAGAGGAGAGGAGAGGAGAGGAGAGGTGAGGAGAGGTGAGGAGAGGTGAGGAGAGGTTCCATCGATGTTGGACAGGTGGGCTGCAAAGCCTTTGGTCTAGACACCTTTGTTCGCGAGGTGGCTGCCTGGTTGGGTGGTTGGTACAGAAGTGATAAAAGTGTAGTTTTGACATGTCTACCCTTTTCTCACGAGACACACTCGAGGTACCACGACAAGAGGGGGGATATTTTCGTGAGGTGGCTGGCTGGCTGGTTGGTTGGTACAGAAAATTTGAGACGTCCAAAACATCTTGAGGTCGGTATTGAAAGCACGAACGTCTTTGGCTTGGTCTACGGTGGAAAGAGGAGAATTTGGTTAGTTGGAGAGTAGAAAGTTTGAGAAGCCTCGAAGAACAAAACAAGGCGGAAGAGTGAGTGAGGGAGGGAGGGAGTCAGAAATGAGTGAGAAGTGAATGAGTGAGAGAGCTGGGAATCAGATGGAGGGAGGAGTGTGACGAACAGAATTTGCAGATCAGTGAGGGCACTCAGAGACGCGGGTAACGTTCCATTGAAATAGTTGTTGAGTAGATCACTGCACAAAACAGAATAGTTGTTGTTAAGGGGCGGACGAAACAGAGATTGTTGACAGGTATTTGGATTATTTGGCAAAGGTGAGAGAAGAACGTACTAACATTGAAAAATACGAGTAGACTGAGAAATACTTGGAAGCCTTTTAAGGTATTCGAAGCTGACTCTCGTTTCGAATACCTTAAAAGGCTAATCAAAAGATACTTGGAACGTATACAGGTTATTCATAATGTGTATAAGTCTTGAAAGTCTAAAAACTCAGAAGTTTAGTGAGAGAGGAGAGGAGAATTGCACAGGTCACTGGTCATGAAAGCACAGCAGAAATGCGTACGGGGTTTGAAGGCGGGATAAGGAGCCAATGGTGGTGGAAGGCTAGGCATCTAGTTCTGTTCCCTCTCATCGAATCTCAACAGTTTAGTGGCAGAGAAGAAATGTGTAAAGGATTTGAAGGTGGGATAAGGAGCTGATGGTGGGAGGCACGAGACCCTCTATGGCGTTTCCTGAGAGATCGCTGTGGGTACAAATGATCAGGGCGAGGAGATAGGGAGAGGGAGAGATAAGGTGAGGGAGGGATGAGACGTCTCAAAAGGGAGGGATGAGTTTTAAGATC